TTAAATTCACACTATTTTTGTAGATGTCTCATGTAATCCTAACCTTTCTTAAAGCATGTCTAATTAGATTGTGCAGCATCTTGATTTCAGTTGCGAATCGATTTTCCCGTTTATCGCCCCGCTATGTTTGTAACGCTTATGTCGTTTTGTTTATCATTTTCTCAGTTGTACGGTTATTAATCTTTTATTTTTCGTACTTCATTTTTGGGTTGTAATTTATGCAAGGTTATCGTCCCTGTTGTTTTCAATTCCGTTTCATTATGGTTTGTAATTTATGCGAGGCTATCGTCGCTGTTGTTTTCAATTCCGTTACCATTCTTACGCTTTCTCATATTTCAATTCTGCAATGAAATCAATCACTCATTTGTATTATTTACCGTTACACCCTTCCGAAGGATTAGGTCTAGCCGTTTGACCGCCGTGTTAATAGGCCTCACCTTTGACCATTTCAAAACCCTAGTCGTATTAGGTTTCCCACCGTGGAATACCTATTTTACCCCTCTTAATTCAATTCAACTTTACAACCTAGAGAATTCGAGTCGCCGTACTCATATTTTTAGGCATCCGCCGTGGACCAAATTACCCTTTACCCTAACATTAGGATAAGGAGTCGCGCACTCTATATTAGGTTTCCCGCCGTGGAATACCTATTTTACCCTTTTCAATTCAATTCAATTTCAACGTAGAAATAGGAGTCGCCGCACTCCACGTAAGCGCTTCCATATGAACGCTTACCCCCATTGAAACCTTGACCACGGTCAAGAAGTTTCTAACCTCCCTTTCGAGAGGAACTACGATTACTCTGATTCCATCCCCTACCTCGGATACGTAGGCACAAGATGTGAGTCTTGGCGAGTAAACTTAGGACTAACCCTTAGGTCTTTCTTTCACTTTTAACCCTTAGCACATATACCCTAAAGCAAATAATCAAGAAAAATAGTAAACTTTAAACAAGAGGTTCCTGTAGAGTACTACAGAAGTTTAGGGTGCTAATACCTTCCCTAAGTTTAACCAACCCCTTACCTAGACCTCTTCCCGCATTGTGTTTACGATGCAAAATTAGATTTTTCCTTTCTTTGACCTTTCCTTCGGATAAATTAAAGACCGGTTGTGAATTAAAGATTTGCGATTCAAATTAATTAATAATTTGATATCCTATTCTCACCACAACAGTGAGAAACCCTAATCTTTCTGCCTTGAGTGCACATTGAAACAACGACTTGATGAGAACCAAAACTATGACTCAGAATCTTTTCAGTCAAGCCGCTGATGAAACCCTAAACAAACTACACCCTTGTGGCAATTCAGAGAAACTGATGTTGTGCCTTGATAAACCTCTGATCGGAACTGATCATGACAGTTGAAAACCCAACACCTCTACCTCAAACTTGAGTTCAATAACTGAAAGAAACAAACTCTGAACAATAGAAATCCAACTCAACAGAAAAACTCCTGTCAAAAATCCTACTTTAACCACCTTTGAAGCTTCTGAAGTCAAATCCTGATTCATAAGTGAAACAAAACAAACAAAAGCTAATAAATTGGTTAGTTATGCAATATGATTGACCTAGAATGATATGCAAAAGATCAAAGAATCTAAGGGTAAAATTTGGAGTATGACACTTCCTGACATATATGGAAAAAAGAGGTAGCATTAGTTGAATTCATTCTTTTTAATTTACATTTATTTTAAGGGTTATAGCTATTTTTTCTCCGGCCGTTATTTTGGTGTTAAATGCCAAAATTTCAAAAATTGGCCCTTGAAGGTGTTGATTTCATGACCTTTTGCAACAAGGAAGAACGTTTTACCACTAGATTACACATTCCTTTTGTTTAGAGATTAGCACAACATTATATATTGTTAATATTAATATAACATTAATGTTATATATTGTTACAGTAAATTATTAATGTTATATTAACGTTATATATTGTTACAGTATAAATTATTGTAACAGTAAATTAATTAATTAATATATAAGTATTGTTAAATTAATGTTATATATAAGTATTGTTACAGTAAATTAATTAACGTTTTATATAAGCCTTATTTAATAAATTAAAATTATTAAATCATTAAACTTAAGTTAATTAAAAATAATTTAATTAAAATAATTTAAAACAGTTTATAATAAACTTTAATATTAATATACTTTAAAACATATATATTTATTAAAAAATTTATACGTTAATATTAATTTTTCAAATTTTAATATTCTGTAAATTTTATTTATAACTATAAATTTTTTACGTTAATATAATTTTATAATTTTACTGTAAATTATATAGTTTAAATTTTTACTAAATTTTTAATAAACTATTTAATTTTATAATAGTAAATATTATAAAATATATAGTTATACTATAAATATTTATTAAAATACTAACATTTATTAAAATGCTAAATAATATTAAATGCCAAATAGTTTATAATAGTAATATATTATATTACTAAAAATAGTAATATATAATTAACATTTATTAATATTTAAATGCTTAATAATTATACTGTAAATGATAATATATAATTATACTAAGTAACATATGATTAATATTTTAATATTTATAATAGTAATATATAACATTGTAACGTTTTATTAATAATAGTTAGTAATATATAATACCGTAACGTTTTACTAACTAACATATATAATAATAATTAGTAATATTTATAATAGTAATATATAATACTGTAACTAATATATAGTTAGTAATATTTAACTATACTAACTAACTAACATATATAATAGTAATATAAAATTCTGTAACGTTTTATTAATAATTAATATTTATTAAATGCTAAGTAATATATAATTGATGTTTTATTAATAATTAATGTTAACTAATAATTTATAATATTGATGCAAATTAATAAACAAAAAAAATGTGTAGCCAGATATGCATTGATATAGGTACCTTTTCTAATGAGTCTGATATGAGGTATGAATTATTCTGTTTTGATAGGTTATAAAATTTTTTGATTGTGACTCATAATATATATTTTAAATTGTTATAGAGATACATTTTCGATTTATTTAACGTTACAAGATCCGTCCAAAGATGCTGACTCTAGCACCATACCACTCCCAAGCTAAATTTTTTTGCTAGCCAAACAATGTCAACTGATCTTTTCAGCCCTCCCCTACCTTGAATAACATATCATTTCTGATTAACCAAGATTACTCTCACTACAACTAACCACTTGTAGCTCTTCTTTGCCTTACCACGCAAAGCCAACTCAATGGATAGCAGATGATTAAAACTTGAAATAAAATGAGCAAACCTGCAAACTCCCATCCAACCTGTGATAGATTCCTAAACATTGGCACCAACAATGCAAGAAAATAACAGATGGTGATGAGTTTCTCCTGGCCCAAAGCAGAGAGGGCAAACTAGACTATGGGCACCCACAATAACACCACATTTTGCTAATTCATCCCTCATTTGAAGTCTTCCCAACAAAAGCTTCCGAACGAAAACCTGAATGTTACTAGAGACATTTGAATTCCAAACTAACATAAGTGCTTCCTTGAATTCACTTCCCGGTGAAAGTCTTTACTAAGAAGAGAGAACATCCTGCAATAAAAAGATTTAACAGAGAAACCAAAAGAGCTAGGCCACCAAACGAATTGATCTGCGGCGAGAGGATAAGGAGAAATTGTATAATGTTGATGGGGGATAGCCAATCTTGTTTAAGATGATATAAAAGATCAAGGCAATTGAAACCAAGATTCTAACCCGACGACCCTCAAACCAGGCTCCCGAGTCACAAACACGCTGCCTAGGCTCTTGCGCAAAAGTAAACAGAGATCGAAACTGCATTAGGATAGGGTCACCACATAAACCAATTTGGAAATTGCATTAGGATAGGGTCACCACATAAACCAATTTTCATCCGAACCCCACGAGGCAAGAGAACCCACTGTATTTGAAGCAGAGAACCTTGATCCAAGTTGCGCTACTGCCAGACAATATATTCCACCCCCATAAGAGAGCACGATTGAAAGATTCACATTATTTACTCCTAAGACCTCCATTACTTTTAGAATTACACATCGTCGACCACACCGCCCAATTTATTCTCTTGAGATTTTCCTCTCTGTTCCAAAAAAAGCACATTTCTTGAATTACAATCTTTGGCTCTTTGTAAAATGAGAACAAGTATAAGAAGGTGGAGTTGAGAACAGAGTTTATGAGTGTTACACGCCCTCCAACAGATACGGATTTTCCTCTCTAAAATGCTAGCCTGTTCCTTAACTTATAGAGAACCAAATTCCACATTAATTTGCTGCGCGGGTTAGCCCAGTAGCACATGACAAGAACTCCGAGGTAGCTTTTAAGAACTCTTTCAACTATTATAATAGGTGAAAGAAAATAGACCCAACAAACACTGATTAATTTGATTTTAAATAATATAATGAAGTTCACAAATTGAGAATTCTACAACGTGAGTGGACAAGGTTGAAATATTGTGAACCAGTCAAAACAGGTCCTTGGCAAAATACAGAAGAGGAGGATTGCTGAAAATACATTGATTCTTCAAATTTTGTTTTGTTATAATTTGTAACAAATAAATACTAGTATGTTTTTTCTTTAAAAATATAATGATAAAGAGTAAATTATAATTTGTAAGTCATTTTCCTCCCAATTTGGAGGGGAGGAGTGAATTCCTTCCTTCAAACTTTTAACATAAACTGCATAATTTATTTAAACTTCCTCTCTTTCATTTCATTTCCCACACAATAAACACTAGTAACAAAATCTATTGCAGATTTGTGCTGCGCGACAGTAAATCTATCATCATGCATATCTTGCCTTTAGAATGTAAAGCAAAAATACAAAAAGCGTACATTTAAGACAGCAAACAACCAGAAATGAACCCAGATTTCTTGATATCTATCACGTACATAGAAAGGAAGGTGCCTAGTCCAGTAACGGGAAGCAATATCGTTTACTTACTGCTATAAGCATGATACACTGGCACTAGTTAATTGAAACTTCTACTCTTGGCCGAGGGCAAGATCGTGCCAAACTTCCCCGTTAACTTGCTGCACCTCCTGATCTGATCAACAGCAAAACACATTGTGTTAGAAACTCAACAAGAAAGCCAGAAACAATCCTCCAACTGATACCGACTTAAATGAGTACATTCAATCACTTTTGTTTTGAGTACATTCAATCACTTTTGTTTTCTTAAATTATTACTCGTACATGTCAGTGTCAGTAACATGTCCAGTGTCGGTAATGTGTCCAGTGTCGGTAATGTGTCCAGTGTCGGTAATGTGTCCAGTGTCGGTGTTTGTACGTCCAAACACACATATTCACTTTTACACAACCATATTTTCATTGAAGCAATTCCACTAAATTGCGCGTCTCTAATATTAAGTTTTAATCAACTGTGGAGTTAGTTATCTACCCAACAACCAATCAATGAATGATTAACAAAACAATGTTTAAATAAACTAAGCTCGAGAAAGATATTATCCACAAAATCTATGTGATTTTGCAAGTGAATTGAGATACATACTTGAGTCCTCGGTATCATCTGTCCGAACAACCAGTGTTGGAGGCAGCGGAAGATCTGTAAAAACAACAAATCAGATCCATATTTCCTAATGAATATCAAGTTAAAAGAATATATCACCAATTTTGACTCTAAGCTTACATTCTCTTCATACTTCGTCTATCAAGTAAACCAACCTCTTGTTATATGTTTTCCTTTAGTCACAAACGTTTTGTCCCGTCAAGTTAAAACTAATTTACATTGATAGTGGATGCCTCTCAATCACAAAGAACAAAAGATTCTCGACATACAATTCAATTTCTTATTTTGTTTATATTTTCAATCAGAGTAGTCCTTTCCGGATAGTGACGCTGAGCGGCTGACCTCAAAAATAGGATAGGATAGCGTCTACCAGAATGGCTGCTCTATTTGATAACTTTTTGGACAAGTTACATATAATAATTATAAACATATATTTAAGGCAAAACTAAACAAATAACTCAACTCATAAAATATTCATAAATCAAAACACACATGACTCTTGTAGTGCTTAAACGACTATGAAGGAAGGTTAAAGTTGAGTCTCTAACTCAAATTTGATTGAAAAACTCAAAATGACCCTTAATTCATTGTAAATTTAAGGGAACCGCTCCGGGCCGAGAACCGCTCTGCTTCGTTATGCCACTATTTACCCTATAGTGCTATAGTGTTCTGCACCGCTAAGGCTCTTCCCATAGTAGACGGCCTCCACTCCGCTATAGCGGGATAGCGCTATTGACTGCTCTGTTTTCAATTTAAACAAAATGCAACAAAAAACAAGAGGTAAAGAGAAAAAAAATACCATCATCAGGGAGAGTGTCTCTCATCCAATCCTCATCAACAATATCAATTAGAACTCCCAAACTCAGATCTGCCATTTCTTAGCTTTGCTGTATTTCCTATTCAGTATTAACATTTGACATAAACAATGCAATTCTAAAAAATAAATTAATCAAAATTATGATTCTGAATTAAACATACACACGAAAGATTATTATGGATTTGTTAGTAGTTTGTTATATCTCCTAGATTTATGAATTTATAGGAGAAGATGCTAAAATTAGGTTTCAAAAGAAATAACGGTTGAAACAAAATAAGAATCGCAGAGAGAGAGAGAGAGAGAAGGAACCTGAGACTGAGACTGAAAGAATCGGATCGATGCTACCTTGCCACTGTATTGGATACTTTTATTTTTACAAAATAAATGGATAACTTCGTTTGAAAAAATATGAAACTGAGTTATTATTAGAAAAAATATTTTTACATTTTAATATTTGGTTATAACTTTTTTATAAAATAATTTTTTAAGCAATAAATGAAAATTTTATTACAAGATTTTCATGATTCTTTTAAAAATACTTTATCGTTTTATTACAATTTTTTTAGATAGTAAAATTTTAAAATTTTCTTAAAATAATAAATTATTCAAATAATTATTATAAAAACTATTTTTGTTCTTTAAAAAAATAATTCTCAACAATAAATATTTAACATAAATTCATAAGACTCGTGACTACTTCATATAATGATTGTTTGGAATTCAAAGAAAATATAGTAATTTGTTATTTTATTTTATTTTTTAAGATCAAAACATAGTTGAAACGTGTCTGTTCTGAAAACAAAGTTTTCTTCCATCTGGAAATCAATAGGTAAGTGGGGTATCACCTCATTAGGAAAAGGTTATTATGAGTTTTTTTTCTTCTATTGAGGATGTGTAGAGAGTTTGACTAGATAGTTCTTGGAACCTGAATTCGGGGTTTTTTAAACTTTTCCCTTGGACAAGGGAATTTAATCCCCCACTCTCAAACAATCTTCTGCACAAGTGTGGATTAGGATCTATAGTCTCTCGCAAGAATACTAGAGACTGAAGATACTTTTTGCTATTGCGAGTAGTGTATGAATACCTTTCTGCACAGATGCTACCACAAACAAACCTTATTTCGAAAGACCATTTGGTCATTATGTCAGGGTTCTAATGAATATTGAAATAACAAGTGACCTTAGAGACAAGGTTTTGGTGGAGAGAAAAGGTTTTGCATTTTTAGTAGACATGGAGTATGAGAACCTACTAGATTATTGCAACTATTGCAAATGTATTGGACATCACTGTGACAAATGCAAGAGAAGACCTTTTAGATAATGTTCAAAATCAACATCACAAGAAGGATGATGGGAAGATCAAAACAAGGAAAGAACAAAAAAAGACCTATGTTCAAGTGAGAGATAGAAATAAAGAAAAATGGAAAGACCAGGTGGTGGAAACATCACCTGAAGTAGTGCATACCGAAGAGATTTCTCAAAATCCTCAAGTCTTGTAGGTCCAAAACAATGCAACTCATATGGGACAAGATCTAAATTTAGCCCTACACATTGTCCCAATGAAATGCCTCTATTGGAATGTGAGAGGTATTGCTAACTCTTCTACAAAATTAGCTTTAAAAAAGATTATTCATGTAAATAAACCTGACTTTGTTTTTATTTTTGAACCCTGAATGACTTTTTGATAACTTTCCTCCTAGATGGTTCGCTAGACTAGGCCTTAAACTCTTTGATGTGAACAATAGAGAGGATCAGGAACCAAACCTTTAGCGTTGTTGTCTCATTAACCTTAAACTGAAGGTCGTTTATATTGATGGTCAGCAAGTCTCCTTTTTTATTAAATCTAGGGACAATACCTTTGGTATAATTGTTATTTATACTTCCACCAACCATGTTTCTGGGAGATCCCTTAGGCATAACCTCAGTAATATTCAAACTCAATACAAGATCCTTTGGTCATTCATTGGTGACTTCAACTGTATCTTAGGGTCTCAGGGGCATAACATGGCTCATCTGCCAGCTAGGACTCCTATTGAGGACTACAATTAATGGATTGATGATAACCTTCTCATCCATCTCTCAACCACTAGCTCTTGGTTCGCTTGGATCAATGGTAGGAAAGCGCCTAACCATACTGAAAGAAGGCTAGGTAGATCTATTTGCAATCAACAATGGATTGATTTCTGAACTAGCATTTCTTGCAGGACTCTCAATAGAAACTGCTCTAATCACTTTCAAATTTTATTGGAATTCTTTAAGGTCGGTATTAAAGTTTCCGCTCAGTTCATATTCTTACAAATGTGGGCCTGTAACCCAAGTTGCAAGGAGCTAATTAGGGACACTTGGCAAACTAGGGTGGTGGGATGTCCAATGTTTATTCTACAAAAGAAGCTTCAAATTCTTAAATTTAAACTCAAGGAATGGAACAAATATACCTTTGGCAACATTCATGACAAATTTAAGTTGTCTAAGGAAAATTTGCACAAGATTTAGAATCAAATTATTAAAGAAGATGGAAAAGACCAAACTGTGCATAAGTCATTCTAATTAGACAAATTTTATAGTAATTTATTGTGAAAGTTACGATGAAGAAGTAAGGAACATAATGGAATAGAAAGAACAAAAGAAAAATTTGAGAATACTAAAAGAATCATGTAAATTGCAACACAACTATAATTGACAGTGACATGATTAGTGACAAAAAGATCAGAACGGTGTGCTTAAGACACAACGACGCTATTTCAACTCTCAACCAAGACATGACAACTTTTTAAATGTTAAAGTGTGGCATAACTTGGACAACGCGCGACGCAATTGCACTTATTTAGAATTTTAATTATAAATAAAAAAATCATGTTTCTTTATTATGGGTCCAATTTTATATTGTATAAGGTGTTTTATGAGTTATAAGAAGATGGGAAAGATTGATAACAATAAGAGTTCATTCTTCATCATTGTAAAACTTAACAATTCCTTTCTAATTGTAAAAATCATGAATCCTTTTGGGGTTGGTGGATAGTCCCCTTATATTTGATTCTCTTTATATTATTATACCCTAAATATGTGGTTTTATGTAATTTTCTATGGCAGCTTATGTAATGACTCTCTGATATTAATTATATAGTTTTATTTATGTTTAATGCTTACTAATGTATATAGGATTGAGAGAATTCATCTAGAGGGAAATGAGACTCTACGGTAATTTGTCTATCTGATTGGTAGGACTATGAGATTATAATGGTTGTTCTGGTTATGTTGAGAATAATCTCGACCATTAGTATAATTTTATGTGATATAATATTTTTTTCTTATACTTTGAAGACTCTCATTACTTGAGAAGTTGTTTTGACAAAACGTACATCCTTGCAATTAGAAACTCTTAGTATCTGGGAGGTTGCAATGTAATTTTTTTTTTTTTTTTGCAAAACTAACTTCTTATTTTTGTCGCATAAAACCTTCGTCTTAGCGATTGGAGACTTCCATTACGTGGGAGATTACTTTGACGAAGAGGGTTGCCTTGTGATGGGAGACTCCCAACACTTGGGAAGTTGCAATGATGTTATTTTATGTTTGCCTTGTGATGGGAGACTCCCAACACTTGGGAAGTTGCAATGACGTTATTTTATGTTTTGTAAATGGTTATAATATAATAATATATTAGGGTTATTATACGACTAATCATAGGAATTCTCACATTTAAGGGTAAATGATTTGAAAGGGTAAGTTATTTGTTTTTAATCATATTTGTCAATCATTGTTATTATTAGTTTACTAGTTTATGCATAGTATAGGTTCAAAAGATTTGTAATTTGATTCAAAAATAGAAAAAACCACAAGAGCACTCCGACAAGCTATTCGAGAAGAAAAGATGATTGAACCAGATAACCGTACTCTTGGAGATTTTGAATGTCATACCGATGACAAAGAAGTAAATTGGATTCCAACTGGAGACTCCATGTAACTCAGGGAGCTAAACAATAAGAAAAAATTGTTGAACCAGATGTTCACATTCTGGAAGATTTTGGATGTCATACTGATGACAAAGAAGTAAATTATGGACTAACCGATAACCGGCTTTGTGCAGTAAGATATTGAATCTCTATATGATGTATGGAAAAGGGAAATTAATGATTAAATGTTATACTGCGATAACCTTGAAGACAGGTACAATATTTTACTAAAAGGTTTCGCGGAGATACCTGCTTTTGGATGCTTCAACAAGAGGAACCATGCTGAGCAAGTATTTCACGTACTTCTGGTGAAATTATTGAACAAACTCTAGTGTTAAAGAACTTAAAAAAAACATCTGCTGCAGTGCTTTGAGCCTAGTTGTCTGGACTTGAATTAGTCAAGGTCCAATATAACTATGGTAATTTATAACCAAAAAAAGTGTCCAAATAATGAATCAAGCTTGGTAATTTAATGTCTACCATAGTCACAAATCCATTCAGTGGTATACAAGTATGGAACATCCTAATCACCTAAGAGACCAAGTGATAATCATACAAATGCTGCTCTGGTAAAAGTTGGAACACAGCAGCTGTTTGAACTCATAATGATGCAGTGTCACTGCCAGCCCTCAGATTTGTAATACACTTCTGGACTAAAACTTATTGAACATCGATAGAGTTTGGTTGTCTAAACTCAACACTCTCTAATATTCCTTCCATCTAAATGATTGTAAATGACAGAATTGCAATATGTAAACATAAAGAGAATAGGCTTATAACAGAACTTTCTCTACCTCCAAAGACACTGTCAAAATCAATAAAAGAACCATGATTTGTAAATGAAAGAATACAGATATATGATAGGATTATCTAAATACATTTCTATCAAAATTTAACCCCTTTGCTTGTCTCACATGCTCATTAACCATGAATTTCTTCAACCTTTCAGCCTCTTCCAATTTCTCACCGATGACATACAAATCAGCAATAAGGTTATAAAGCCCTCTATCATTTTCTGGATTTGCCATCCTCAGAACCTGCTCTATCACCCTCTCAGAAATCTCAAATTGCTTGTGTTCCTTACAAGCCGACAAGAAAGAACCCAAGACAACAACATTTGGTTCCACTCTCATTGTTTTGATAATCTCATAAGCTTCCTCTAGATTCCCACTTTTCCCTATCAAATAAACCAAACATGCATAATGTTGAACTCTTGGTTCCAAACCACATTCTTCAATCATCTTGAAATACCTTCTTCCCTCCTCAACAAACCCACCATGAGCACAAGCACTGAGCACCCCAGTGAAAGTCAACTCATTGGGTTTGATTCCAACCATTTGCATCTTCTCAAACACAATCAATGCTTCTTTATTAAACCCACACCGTGCAGCTCCAAAAATCATCACTGTCCAAGACATAACATCTCTTTCATCCATCAACTCAAAAACCATTGCAGCATTTCTCAAAACTCCACCTTTAGCATACATATTAACCAAAGCAGCACCTATCTCAACATTCAATTCCCACCCATTTTTCACTATAAAACCATGAACTGATTTTCCACGTAACAATCCACAAGACCCCATGTGAGCACAACCCGATAAAACCGCACCACAAGTCACCTGATCCGGCTTCGTTCCTTCAACAAACAACATCCGTCTAAAAAGATACAAACTTTGCATATAACCTCCAATATCTGTATAACCCGAAATCACAGAAGACCATGAAACACTATCTCTTTGCGGCATTTCTTCAAACAACTCACGTGCTTTATTCATATCACCTGATCTCGAATACCCCAAAATCATAGTGTTCCACGTGACAGTATTCCTCTGTGGTATTTCGTCGAACAATACACATGCATCAATGAAAGAGAGAAGAACATAACCATTTAAAAGACAATTTGCCACGTGGATTTGAGAGATGAAACCGAGTTTGATGATATGTGTATGAAGGTGATGAATGGTGGGTAAGCTGTGTAACTGAATGGAAGATTTTAAGGTGAAGAGAATGCAGAAAGAGTCAAAAGGAACACCACTTCTATGCATTTTGGAATAGAGATGGATAGCTTTTGTTGGTGATGATGAAGAGGCTTTTTTAATAGATAAAGCCCATGAACTCCATCTTCTAACAAAAGATAGCACTTGTAGATGTTTCATTTCATATCATATATATCATAGGTTTTGGAATTAAACTTGGATTCAAAATATAAATGGGTTTTAATGTGATATGATAATACTAGAAGAAATTCAAAACAGAGACATATAATGGGAAAAGGAAGTAGCATCTAGTCATTTCTATGTGTGGGGAAGATGTGAAGAACGTAAACTAGTTTATATTCACATCGTTGCTTTGGTCATTTTCTCCATCTTTTGACCAATTTGACATTTTTTTCGTTTAACTGATAAGTTGGTAAAGGAAAGATCTTGATCCCCGTCTAACAATAGTTGTTTTGATTTTCACAATTTTTTTTTTATAATAATTAATTGTATATAAAACGAATGGTATTGTTATTTATTAAAATAACTTTAAGAGCATCTTTAGTGGGAGTAAACTAAATGGGTAAACTAAGATATTTTTTGTGGGCCCAAAGTGATTTGTAGGATTTAAAAAATTTATAGTTGATTTGATTAATTTTTACTTTAATGGTGGTTGTCTATAAGAAACCAAAACTTGACCCCACATTTTATATTTTTTATTCAAATTATCATTAATTTAATTATTTTAATTAAAATACATATATTTTTTTAAATAAAATTTACCTTAAAAACTTAAAAATAATATTAAATATATTTTATTATAAAATTAAAAATGATATAAAATTCACAACAATAATACATAAAAAAATTATATTTTCATAGGAATATAATTATAATAAGGATTCGATTGGTTGGAATCCATTTGATAAATAAATAAGATTGAAAATTGAAAGAAAAAAATTTAGAAGTAAAACTTTGTGTAAAAAAAATTAAAATTTCTATAGAATTTATAGAAGGTAAAAAATGATAATATGACCGTTACTATTTTCAAATATCATATCCTTATTGAAATATTTAGAATATTTTATTAATATTAAATAATATTATAATAGGTTTTACATAGTTAACGTTAACTATATAGATAATGGAAACTAATTTTTAGTTCATTTGGATGTCATGTCAGCTCTCCTATAATGCAAATTCCTTATTACTAAAGTAAGCTATAAAGAATTTTGGTTTAACAATCCTGCATTAAAGTTGCTCTAATAGCTAGTAAAATAGTTACATAATTTAAAATATATAAATAAGAATAAAATAATAAAAAGAAACAATGAATGTAACATAATATTAATATTTTAAAAGAACAAAATAAAATAATAAAAAGAAACAATAAATGTCACATTAATATTAATATTTTAGAAGAACAATAAAATAAGGATAATGCTATTCTAAAATAAAAGTTAAACTTTAAAAAAATAGAAATTATGCATTAATTTTATTAAAAGATAATTAATTTTTCCAACATAAATTTTTTATTTTTAAATTTTTCTTCATAGCATTACTCATAAAAAAATTGATATTAATAAAAGAATTTAATTGGTATAGTAAATAAATTTTACACTGTCAATTAATTATAACCGTCAAATTTTAATTATAGTTTGACCTTGATTATAATCTATTTTGTATTGGGGCAGAGACTGACTCACTGTTAGACACAATCTAACTCAACTCCTCGTCGAGGAGGACTCAACAAAGGCTCAATCCATCATCTCGCACGGGGAACGCTCCTCACGCGTCTTTCTCACGCTCTCCACGTGCTCCTCACGCGGAGACACGTCATCAGTCAACTACCCACAACTTTCGAACGACAGTTCGCCCTCAAGAACAGGTCCTCCACCCCCTGAAGTTCATGGGGCAAAAGACTGCGTGTTGGTCTTACCTACTCCACGTAGATCTTGATCGTTATCCATATCAGACCTAAAGATCCAACCCAATACAAATAATCATTGGTCCAGCGCTTAGGATACATTATAAATACCCTCCTCATGTATTCTAACTCATATCCACTTTTCTATATTTGTTCTCTCTTTGCTCCATTCCTTACTTTAGTATAAGAGTGTCTTGTAGGTGCATTCATTTCTCTTCTCCACCACCAACGAACTTTATATTTATTAAAACATTATATTAAAATCCTGCAATTCTTCATAAAAATATGAGGACATCATTATTAAAAACTAATTAAACTTTGCATATAATTACGTTTTAAATGAAGTGGGGGTGGAGGCAGACCGCTTCCCTTTATAATAATCAAAGATTCAGATTGATAAAATTAAATATTTTAACTCAAGCAGTGAATAAATTTTACTTATACTCCGACTAAGCTCGCGGAAACAAAAAAGATTGAAATAGAATAAAACCAAAAGCATGATGTTTTATACTAACACTAAGAAAGACACAAATATTAGCATTCATTTAAAGGTATTACTGTCTATCTGTCTCTAATCAGCTAAAAGATTGAAAAGAAATTACATAGCATTGTTAAGTAGATTACACGATCATACAAGTATACAACCCCCTCTCTCCCTTTCTTTCTTCCCGAAAAAGAATACAAAACACCATGACTACAACTGTTCTTATAGAACACTACTAATTCTATATCAAGACTTAAAAACACAGGGACTGAAAAACGAGACGCCAGAGGAGGTTCCGCTAACACATGAGATGCAGATAAATATCAGTTCTGTTATAATTTTGGGATGCATCTTTGAATTTTCGTTACCCCAATAGGCCAACAGCAGTGACCTCAGCTCACAACATCATTGGACAAAGCAGTGCCCGAAATTAACTGACAAGGGGATTAAAAAGAGCCGCCTAGACGTTTGGACAATCCGACGCCCGATGCCCAGGTTGCCCACAACTAAAACAGGCACCTCCAAAGCTTCTGCAATGCACATTCAAATATCATATCGGTTAAACATGAATTTGATGATACCAAGCAGATAAGGCTCATTATATAACTTGAATAGGTAGAAAATTAACAGACAACAATAAAAAGAATCATCATTATTATTTATTATAACCTGTTAGGTGATGATGGAGACCGGCTTGATTGTCTTCCTCCAATTAGCCAATCATCCCCGCTGCTTCTGTCGGGTTTGGACCAGTTGTTGCCAGACTTAAAACTACTTCTGCCACCCCTCCTTGAATCACCAAAGTCATCTCTGCCACCCCGCCTTGAATCACCAAAGTCACCTCTGCCACCCCTCCTTGAGTCACCAAAGTCACCTCTGCCACCCCTCCTTGAGTCACCAAAGTCATCATTAGAGCCTCGACCTCCATCCCATCCCCTTGAGGATCTGAAACCTCTACCATCCCTTGAACCTCTTCGGTTACTTCGTTCTCTATCAGAAAACTTCCCGTAGAAATCACTTGGAGGTCCATCATCTTGCAAAGGAGGTAACTGCCAATACAAAGTAACGTGCATAACGCATATTATATAATCAGTAATACAATGAATTGATATAAAACAGTTATGACACATGCAATCCATAAAGAATTACAAAATAAAATATTAGCAAATGTTGCAAATTGTAATTCACCTTAGCGACTTTGGAAATAGTGTTTCCTGATGGTATGTCCTTCTCAAGTAACTCTTTAGCAATGTCCTCTGGAAGATCAAAAACAGCTCCTTGAACCTGATAATAGGCATTGGCAATGTAAAACTGTCAAACAATTTGTGAACAATGTAGGTGGATTCCCAAAAGCACTTAAGGTCCAAGAAAGACATGCACGGAAACGAATTTTACTCAGATACAAACCGTTTCATTTGCAATTAAATGTATTTTTCCAACTTCATCAGCGGCTTTGGAATATACATCAGCAAGAAACCCGGTGACTGATCTTGCTGAAAAATATCTTTGGGAATTTTCTAAATCTCGAGTTAATTGCAATGTAACCCATCCCTGCAATACCATACATTTTAAATTAGGTTTACAACCGCACCACACGTGTTAACTAAAAGAAAGAAAATTTAGAGAAACACAAAACGGACACACATGAAAGAAGGAAAGAAAAAAAACAGTGGATAATAAGAGAGACGGAGAGAACTAAAGAAAGGAGGCATGTTTCCGGTGAGATAGTAGCGCGTGAGGAGGCTGTCGGAAAATGGCCTTTGGTGGTGCTGTGTAGTTGCCATAAACAAATGGGGGATGATAGGGCATCATCCGGACAAATGTATGAAATATTAGAATTTCAAGTAGGGCCTATATGTCATAAAGGTAACTCCTCCTTTTAAAACTTATATTCTCTCTCATCTATCTCAAGTGACTTTTTTGAGAAGCTACTCAAAGTAGCTACCCTTTCTAATCAGTTTTAGAATCTATCTTTTTAAAAGCTGTACTAAACAAATGAAAACATTTAAAATGTCTTTCTTTTTTTGAAAAGTGATTCTATCATTACAAAATCTGTAACAGGCATCCCCTAATTCAATTAAAACTGAGGCAACAAATAGAAAAAAATATTAAACTGGATAACTTTAATTAGAAATGAAAGCTTCCAATACCTGTTCATGGGTGATAAGAGACCGGCAAGACGGAGGTTTGGAGAATCCACTCAGCTGTGCCAGTGCAGCTGCAAGGGCATCTGTTCCTTTTTCTTCAATCAGTTTCTGTGCAGTTGGGGTGAAAAATGCAATAGACTCAGGATGGACTCCATTAAGTGTGGCAACAACTTGCTCGGCAGATGCCTCCAAAACATCCTCCATAGATGGTGCATTAACAAATTCAAATTTGCATCCTACATCGCGCTCAAGGGATCGAACTGTTCTTCTCTGGTTACCTGTGTACATCAGAATGGCAGAACCTAGCTTTCCTGCACGGCCAGTACGGCCAGAGCGATGTACAAAAGTCTCGGAATCATTGGGAAGCTCGTAATGGATAATCTGAAGAAAACATATAAGACCAATAAGTTCATCACAGATTTCATTTCCATTTCAATACTTGACCAAGGCATAAATAAGACTCTTTACGAGTCAAATATAAATCTTAAATAACAATATCAAGAGATTGAGATAAAACAATTAACAATGACCTTAAAATTCATATATACTTATGTGCACAGTTCACAATTTATTGAAATATAAAATCCAAACTTTCATGTCAGATGAGACAGTGTACACTGAAAATAGATTGAAGAAAATGTTGAATTGAGTAGAAAACATCTGCTCAACAAAACAGGCAACCTCAATTCTACTAGGACAAGCAACCCAAACTCTCAAAAGGCAACAAATCATACCTCAGTAAGTAATAAAGTCCTAACTCAATCAAGTGTAAGATAATCAAAATAATTCAAACTATTAAACCCTATTCCGAAAAATTGGAAGTTAGATCTGTAATCCCCAACTAATAAACCCCACTCTCCAAACTAAAATAAGTGGTTCACTCTATTAACTCAACTCTGGTATAAAACTGAATGGACATATGCATATAGAACTAACACCAGGAATGGAGTGGTAGATTGTGGAATATCAAGTTAAAGCAACCTATGAACGTACCAAATCAACATTGGGAATATCAAGTTAAAGCAACCTATGAACGTACCAAATCAACAATGGGAATATCAAGTTAAAGCAACCTATGAACGTACCAAATCAACATTGGGAATATCAAGTCCGCGAGATGCCACATCAGTGGCAACAAGCACGGTAAACTTTCCTTGTCTGAAACCATTCAATGTTCTCTCTCTCTGATGCTGAGATATATCGCCATGCAGTGCTTCAGAAATGATACTATTTGTCAATGCCAATGATACTTCATCAGCATCTCTTTTTGTCTGTGTAAAAACTATAGTCTTCCCACCCTTTGCGTATACCTAAAAGACATAGTAACATCACATTAAATAAAATTAGTGAGATCAGTACCTTGAAGCAAATGGAACATGATAAAAAATAATAGCTTGAAACACATTTATAAAACTAATTGATTTAATATATTCACGGTTTTCAATAGCTACGTGAGTTGTCGAAGAATACACACCTATAAGCTTGTATATAGGAAGGAATTGCTATGTGTGTAAAATACAAAAGTTAAGAGAACTTGATGGTTACTTAAGAATGCATTATATAATTTTAAAATAAACACAAGATGACAATGAAAGATTTAACTAGTGTTAACAAAAATTAATTATATCAGCTATGTAAATAAATATACTCCAACAGTAACATCGAATCTTAATTGGTATATTTTTAATTGTTACATTATATTAAAACTTTTGGTAACAAGAACTAGTAAAAACAATAATGCAATATTACTCAATATAATGACTAAACAGAACCCACAAAATACAGATGTGGAGGTTAAGAACATCAAACTGTGAAAAAAATTAACTAGCAACTTACTGTGATAAGATCAGAAAGAATTGTTCTCTTAGAAGTGGTAGTGGCTGATATAGCGTAAAGTTTTATCCCTTCAGCAAGTTTTTCTTCTTCATCACCAACCTTTTCAAAAGAAAAAGGAAAGCATAATGATTATAATTGATTACTTCTGATTAAAAAATGCATCATAATTATGATTCAATTTTTATTCTAAAAAGCCATAAATGTAATGCACAATTATGGCACAGATAGTTTGATGATAGGGTCACGAAATCTACAAGTAATTAAGGCAACGTTAGAAAAAAGGGAGATGCATCTACGAACAGCTATCAGTTTGCTATATTCTATGTATATTTGGAGAAAAGAAGCCTGAACCCTGAAGTAAAAACAACATACCAAATCAATTGTCAGCGGATTGTCCAAATATTTCCTGGCCAATTTCTTCACCCAAGTAGGCATGGTTGCAGAAAAAAGCATGCTCTGTCTCTTAGCTGGAAGCTTTTCCAAAATGACTTCCACAGCCTCCTCAAACCCAACAGCAAGCATTTGATCAGCTTCGTCGAGTACCAAATACTCAACTTCACTCAAATTAAGTGTGTTCCCATTGATGAGGTCAATCAGCCTACCGGGCGTTCCAACAACCACATCAACACCACGTGAAAGTGCACCCTGCTGAGAAGCGTAAGAAACACCTCCATAAATACAAACTGTTTTGAGATAAGGTGCCGATTCTTTTATCTCCTTCTCCACTTGCTTTGCTAACTCCCTGGTAGGTGCGAGTACCAAAGCTCTAGGAAGACGCCTAACAACAAAGAAACAAGCATATACATATCAAAACTAGTAGAATAGTATTGATATTCCACAAGACATAAAACTAATATTAATTAGGATATATTTGTATTGACTTATTTGAACTTATCTACTCACATAAGCACTTGTAAGAATGTTTGGGATAGCTTGAGATATTTATAAGTTGTTTTCAACTTACTTTCATGAAGTTGGTAGAATATCTTACGAACACAACTAATAACTTGTATAAAAATGATTTTACTTTAGTTTATCTATCTTTCTAGAAAAAACTTATACTATTACGTACTTATCTGAGAGGTGTTTATCAAAACCAAACTTTGTATCCCATAGCTATTGCATATGATATGGAATCATAATGAATGAATGAGGATTACCTGCTATTGTATCGACCCGAATCCTCGCCATCATCGAGACCATTAATAATAGGAATTCCAAAAGCCAATGTTTTCCCTGTTCCCGTCTTTGCACGAGCAATGATATCTCTACCTTGCAGTGCAGGCACTAACACCGCTCTCTGATTACACAACAAACAAAAAATTCAGTAACTATTTACGAAACTAATATTAGGCAAATTAGCATAATAGGTTTCGGTGACGCACCTGAATAGGAAAAAGCTGCGTAATCCCACGCTCACGGAGCGAATCAACAAGTTGCGAAGGCAAATCAAGTTTCGAAATGTCAAGTTCATCAGCGTTTAGAGAAGCAGTTCGTGAGGGAAAATCATCATCTTCTTCCCCGTCGAAACCAGGGCCTAGTCCTTGGAATGCTTCGTCGCTGAGGAGTGAAGAAGAGGACGAATTAGGAGTAGCGACGGCGGAAGCAAGAAACCTATCGGAGGAGTTGAAATTGGCGAGACGGTTATGTCTAAGGAGGCTGTTACTGACGTGGCGGGAGTTTTTAGCGTCGAAGGAGTGGAGTTTAACGGTGGAAGTGGAAATGGAAGTTAGTTTGTGCTTTTTGTAGAGTTCGAGGGAGGGGAGTTTGCATGTGGAAGAAGCGCCAATTACAGTTATGGAAGCCATTTTTTGTTTCTTCTTCTTATGAGAGAAGAAGAATGAAGAAAGAATGAAAAAAAGATAAAGATAAGGGGAAAGAGGAGGAGAGAAATGAATGTATGGCCTTTTAAACCTCCAACTCGCCCATAGTTGTTGTGTTATGAATGAAACCCATAAAAAAATTAGATTTTTGAATCGGGTCGGGTCTAATATAACCGGATTATTACGATGTTGGATCTTTCGGATTGTGATCTTATTTTGCTAGATAAAGTGAATTCATACTAGATTGTGAAAATTTATAAGGAGCAATAGTTTAAGAGAATTTATTTTCCATCATTAAAAGTTTTTTAAAATTTTTGGCGAAAGTAAAAAATCTCCTTATATTCGAATATGTATTTTTGAACGCATTGTTTTTTTATAAATTAGTGCAAATGGATCAGGATTTTTCACTTTGTCAAAATTAAATTTGGACATGCATCTTCGTATGTGTTTTAAGGTTTGTCCGCAAATGCATCTCCAGGTTAACTCTTACTTTCAAATTCAGAGGTTCTTCGGAGATGAATCTTCGAACGCGTTTAATTAATATATAACGTACGTCAGACCCTCCCTCTTCTCTTTCTTCATTTTTTGAAACTTTTGAGATACCCCAATTAAAGGTCGTGAGCAACCTTCATGCAATCCATTTTTCAAGGATCAGCACTACATATACTTCAACCTTTCAATCTCATCTCACTTCACTTACTACATTCAACATTTTTCATCCCCATCAACACTTTTTTGAGTAAGTTTCTCATTTAACTTTTTTATTTTATTTTGATTAATGTATTAGGTAAGATAGTTTGTTTTAAATGTATTAGGTAGTAGTCACATTTGAAATAGGTAGTTGTTAGAGACATGCACTTTGAGTTGGTTGTATTTTGGGTTGTTAGGGCAAGACTAGTATGTGTTTATGTCATTTTTTAGAAATACAAGCTTATTCTAAGATGCATCTCCAAATTGTGTATTTGCTGATTTTCGAAGACGCATATCCGAAAAAGTTTTGATATGTCATGTTCTCGTTTTTTCAGGATAAATGGTTGCAAATAAAACTGACAGATTAAGACTCAGTCATGAAACCCATCACGTAGTTGTTCGACGTGAGATGGCTAGACTTCATAATGAGCAAGCCAGTGTTATGCTGGGAGTTGTCCCTAGGCCTTTTGACGAGTAAGCATCGACTTCTATTAGTCGCCTATCACAGGGGCACGTCTCCCCTACTCACAAAGATCGGGAGGAAGCTCCTACTACACATGATGGTGTACGTGCACCTGTAAACCCTTATCCAGGAGAGCCTTGTGACACCTCCTTACTGATATACTATAGAAATCATGTTGGTGGACATGTATGGGTCAGAAAGGTATATTTGTTAACGATTTTTATTTATATGTTTTAAACAAATCCCTTACGAGTGATATGTTATATTTTTTGTAATAGAAGTGTAAATGTTTGAAGTTTGTTAACCACAACATAAAGATTTTGCAACTTTATCACCTTGAGGATGATAGTTCCAAAATGTCATTCGACATTCTGGTCTTGTCGATCTGTGTTGCTCTGGTACAAGACCATTAGTTGTGACATGCAGAGGACTTTTGTTGAGAGATGGCATAAAGAAACGTCATCTTTCCACCTCCTTATTGGTGAGCTGACGGTTATACTTGATCATTTCAGGATCAAATGTGACGAAGCCTATGAGATTATGGTTATTTATTTAGGAGTTGGCCCAATGGATACCTTGATGCAGTGTGAGAGCACTAGAGGTACTCATACGAGTGATATTGTTATTTTTTTTAATAGAAGCGCAGATGTTTGAAGCCTGTTAACCACAACAAAAATATTTTGCAACTTTATCACCTTGAGGATAATAGTTCCAAAATATCATCTGACATTCCGGTCTTGTCGATCTATGTTGCTCCGGTTACAAGACCATTAGTTGTGACATGCAGAAGGCTTTTGCTGAGAGATGACAAGAGAAATGTCATATTTCCACTTTCTTATTGGCAAGCTGATAGTTATACTTGATCATTTTAGGATCAAATGTGATGAAGCCTATGAGATGATGGTCATTTATTTAGGAGTTGGCCCAATGGATACCTTAATGCAGTGTGAGAGCACCAGAGGTACTCATGCCAAATTTTCATACTTGAAGAAGCTTTATGAAGAAAACTTGGAGTTGGTCAATGATGTCGATGACAAGGATCTATAGGTTACCTGCCACCAAAGTGTGCTTTGAGATGTTTCCTCTTATTTTTGGTTGGTAAGTCTATGTTTGTGGACAAAAGCTTAAAAATGCATCGATGTGGCATACCTTAAGTACTTCATCGACTTGTTGACCATTCACGAGTGGAACTGAGGGTTTGATCGTGTGGTAGGGTTATCGAGGATTAGCCACGTGTTTGCATGTATTGCATGCGTTGACAAAATGATGTTGTGTGGTCGTTCCATGTGTATATTGGTCATACTCAACATGATGACATCGACTTGACACCATACATTACTCATTGGGATATTATTGTCTTCGACCTCATTTCATTTTACTCTGGATGGTCGGCATGTGGAAGGAATATGATGTGCCTGTATCTGTCGGAGCGATGCATGCATCAGTTTGGATATGTGTAAATCATTTTGAGATCCCCCTTCGAGTCTGCTTCTAACATCATCATTTGTAGACATTTTGATGACATATTAGCAGATTACGAGATATTTTAGGAGTAGAGAAGCATCAGAGTATGTCAGCCACAATTCAACGGTCTTATGTGGAAGGTTACATGACTTGGTTTTATAGTGTGTCATACCTTGTCACGACATCAGACGCTCCTGAATGACCACCAAGGCTTGCTCATGAGGAGATCCTGGAGAATGAGCAGGCCAGGGATGATCGTGTCATTGATGTGTTGTCGATCGAACAAAATTTTATGCAGAATATATATGATAGTATATTGTCTTGGTTATTTGAGAGAGGTGGAGATGATGTGGTTGCCCTCGCACGTGTCATTCTTACTGAGTCACAGAATTCCTTGGGTTATCGACGATAGAGGAGGAGCCAGGGGTTAGGATTAGGCACATGGAATAGGTTATGCTTTTTTTTATGTTTTAGTTTAATTTCCATACTTTGAGAATAATGTTTATAATATTATGGGATGTTTTTTAATTAATACATTATTCTATGATGGTCGTGTTTATTAATGTTTGAATCAAGTTATGGCATTATTAGTATGATTAAATTGACTTTTGATTATAAAAAAAAAAAAACTTAGGACAATGTTTATGCCCAAGATGCATACATGTGAGATTTTGGAGATGCATAACTGAAATAAGGTTGTTTAAATAGCTTAAAATGCACTTTCGAAGATGCGTCTCAGAATACACCTCATAAAAGTTTTGTAGATGCATTTCTATACGAATGTTTTGCAAAATGGGTTGGTTGCTTGATTTATGGAAAGGTAAGGTGACTAAAGGTGCATCTGTAGATGCATCTCTGAAACACCTGAGGGCAATTTTTGGATTTTATAGGTGTGAGTCACACCATAAGATTGGGAAAAGAAATTCCCTAGTTTAATGAGAGTTACATTTTACGGTTTCACTGAGTTAAGTTATCGACTGCCATTTTATGAAGTTGTGTTAGACATTAATTAGGACTACAAAATTACAAACCACAACCGGTGTTTTAAGATCGGAACGAACCGACCTATCGAACCAGTTGAACTGGGAACCAAAAAGGTCATTAGTCTAGTCTGATTGCTAGATCAGATAAGTTATTAAACTAATTATAATTGGGGAGAACCTCCCAAAACTATTAAAAACTGATGAACCGACGATTTTGGAAAATTTGAGGGTAATCTGAGTACTTCGGCCCTGAATGTTGTTGCTTGATTGCTTCTTCTTCTTTTTCTTTGTATTTTTCTTTTTCCGATAACATTCCCCAGGCTTTATGCCTTGGGCATAATAACAATATTTAGATAATAAAATATTTTTACCTCAACGGGTAGCGCATTATACAACTGTGAGTATCGTATTTATCTTCACTATATTGTTGTTGTGATGCATTTTTTATTGTTAGTGAGTTGTTGCATCATTGGGGTTTGAGTGCCATTTATGCAATGTAAATTTTTTTTGCTTTATGGGTTATATCAATAAGCTTCTCCTTGGCACCTTTGTAATTGTTTTTGATGTGAGAACTCATGTGTCTTACTTTCAGGAGGAAAAGAGGTGCCTCGTTACGTCGAAGTACTTTGAAGTGCCTTTGAACTTGCTTGACGATGACCTTTTGTAACTTGTGGTTTATTGCATTAGACGAGGCTTGACACCGTGTTTAGTTATTGTGTTTGTTTGTTGTAATGAGTGTACTAATTTAGCGTGTATTTGAATTTTATAGTTAGTGATCACTGAATCAGTATATATTTATATGTTGTAGTTAGCAATTAGTGGATTAGTGCATATTTGTATGATGTAGTTATAAATCAATAAATAAGTGCATATTGATCTTCTTTGAGGTAGGGTCTGGACCCGACAATACGTGGTCACATATTTGTGTTGTGCTTCACATTATAGAAGACTGTGTAAGATCCTCGTCCCTGCCCTTAGGATATGACTCAGATCAAGGTGGACGTCTTCGGACTCCACCACCTAACGCCCTTGGATTTGCTAGATCTAATAGGGGTACTCTCACACCCCAATTTTGATTATTTTACTTTTAATTGAGTTTTAGGAGTGTTTTGATTGATTTATTTAATTTAATTTAATATATGAGTGTGAGTGGAATTATTTAAATTAGTGTAGAAGCGAGAAAAATAGTTTAATATTAAATTATAATTTTATTATATTTTTAATAGTTTAGTAATGAGAAATGTGAGAAAATGAATTTTGGGCAATCTAGTTCTTTAATTAAATTTGGGAGGTGGGTAGAATGAGGGGTAGATGGAGGGACCCTTAACCTCCTTAAGGTTAGGTGTTTTGATTCATAATTTTGAATCGTGATGTTATGATAGTTG